CCACACCACAGCTCCCTTGGGAGAGTGACGGGTCACTCTCATGTGACCCCGTTACATTGCTCGTAGCAGACCTTCGGAACAGAGTGAAACCAGACGGACTGATTAATACCATACCAGACACGCTTATCCGTCGGGAGGTCGTGCCATGTGATCTGCCATCGGATCTCGAGCCATCATCAGACACACGCCATCTTCCACCAGTTGGATATAAACTTCCGCTCCATCATAGTACCTTGTCGAAGTGGGAAAAATATGAGAAAGTCGAGCGCATTCGGCGGTCGACTCGAGGGAGAAGAGCTGTGAGAAATTCGACACTCGGTGTTGTTCAGCTTCGTTCGACTTTTTGCTTGCAAAGCGCTTGAATTGGAGCAATAATTGGAGTCACTGCCTTTTAGTCGAGCTTTAATGCTAGTCCGCCTTCACTCCTCGAAAGGAACAAATCCTCGTTGGAATGAGTTGGATATGACTTGCACCTCGTTTGAATTATCTCCGGACGAACTTGGTCACTTGACTGCCACCTCTTCACGACCAAGGATGGAATCGAGTGTAGGAGACGAGACCAACTTTGCATCTACGCTGTATTACCTCACAATTTGAACTTGCATATAATGTGAATTATATAAGACATAATGCATGAGCGACGCAAATATCAAAGTCACTGGCGGACGTCTCGGAAGTTTCGCTAAACAATTTAAAATGAGATAGGAGTAAAGTATAAATTGATACGTTCAGTTTATGCATGCAACTCAATCAGTGAAACATTTCGGACCAAAAGCGCTAGCAAAAAGGGGGCGGTCGAGTTGCGGCATAATAAAGCGCCCAGGCACGACTAAGTCCGTCGTCCATGGGGCACTTTTTTAGCACTTTAAACGCCTTTTCACGATCTAAAACGCTGTAGTTGGTAAATAACAACGACGTCCAGCTACTTTGATTGGCCTTCCAGTCGTGCACTATGGGCAATTTGTGCAACACCTCATCCCATTCCTCACGAACAAATTGAGGAGCCCTGGAAACTTCAAGGATCGGGGAGACGGGTATCATTTGAATGCCATGTATACACTCCTTGTTAGGACTAAACCACGTCGTGTAGTCGCACTTGTTGTCAAAAAAGACACCTGTAACCTTGTTTCGGGCAAAGCCGGCGGGATGAATCACAGGACCATCGTTTCGCAGCAAGAAGTAGGTATTGACGGCGTGCACGTAAACCTTAAGCATTAACTTCGCCAGCCGCTGCTGCTCCTGATCCTCCGTGACTTGGCCGTATAAAGCAAAACCATATAAAAAGTTGACCTCTTCAGACGTCGACTCTTCATCCTTACCATCAGCCATTGGAGTGACACCGTGAGAATACGAATGGCCTAGCCACCAATTAAAATATCGAAAACGTGGAAAGTAAGGGTCACTATCACCAGGCGACGATGTAGCTACGTCTCGTATAAGGGTATCAACAATACTTCGGAGCTTGGCGGCATCGGCTGAGTGACGCCAATGTGGGTCCAAGTATAGCGTCATAGCAGCTGCGGTCACAATATAGCCATAGTGGTAGTGGTGATCATTGTAGACACCATTCCCAAAATCAACGTTGATGTCATTCCTGGCCAAGGCTTCGCTTGAAATTATTCCCTTGTATACCGTGTCGTAGACTAAAGGGAAGGCTGATTGATTGTTTGCAAATTGCGACATCAATTGCACCAGCTTTGAAATGCCGTGCTGCGCCACGTGTTGCATTTCCGGATTGGTAGTGTCGGCTAATTGCCTAGCCACAAGACACATGGTCCCAAACTTTTGTAAAGCTTTACCCTTAAAATAATAGCTCCCTTCATTAGGAAGGCACCAGTCTTCATAGATTTCATCGGTGACAATACGACACAACTTTAGTCTGTCGACCATATCGCGCGTAAGGCAGCCAGCACGAGGCGGGTAGAAGGAAGTGCACGTTTCAACTGCTTGACTTTCAGCTTGAGACACATGGCAAATCCACATTGAGTTTGAGTTTGTTGAAGTTATCAACATGTAGGCAAACAATGGCCCATGCGTGTGGGAATGCAACACGAGCTCGGGTTTGAGTTCAACTGTCGTTTTGTCTAGCATTGCGTGCAAGTGAGTGAGTGCAAAATGTAGGAATTGTGCTCCTGGATTGCTTCCTGAAGCTTGCACAAGTTGCCAGCGAAAAGAAAATGACTCTGAAGAAAGTGTCTCAACAAATGCTCCCCTAGGATAAATTCCAGCACTAGCGTGATAAACCTGTAAGATTTTGTGGTCGTTTTGAGGTATCGATGACGGAACAGCACTCGTTGACACAAATGCAGCTTGAACAACGCCCGTAAATTTACAAGCTGTCGTAAGCTTGTTGCTTTTGAAAACCAAAGATGTGTTTTTGCTAGCGTCAGCAAAAAAGTAGAGTACCCACAATTGGCCATTGTTAAGCGAAATGACAAAGCTGACGCCATTCACTTCAGAATTTTCTCGCACTGGAGCTCCATTAATAGCGACAATGCAATGCTCAGTACCGAGTTGCACCTGTACATCTCGATACTCGACCGTCGTGTAGGCTGAGCCCAAGGACAAATACATTTTCATTCCACTCATAGACAAGTGGACGCCCATATCATCCCAAGCCTCGATGCTCAGTGGTGGGATCGCCGATGATTGTCTTGCCAATTCGACAGAGGAGAAAATCCAATTTTTGATTGTTGCTTGGTGGCAGTAGAAGCGAGGAGCTCCATTGTCGTTCAAAGGGCCGTCCATTCGGTACTGTACCAAATAGCTTACAGACAAGCCGCTGCCAATCGTACCGGGTTGGCTAGGTACTACCTTGTAAGTATAAGGACCAGAAAATACGGGATCGCTATCCCGCTGTCCATCCCACGCCAGCAAGTTACCCCACCACTCATTTGTCGGAACGGGTCTCAATCGAGCATGAGTAGACAAAAATTTAGGTGAAATTAGTTTCTGCAGGTCTTCGGTTGATCGGAAAACTGGCGGCGGGGGTGTGGGGGATCCAAACTTGGCACAAGAAGACGCAGGGGGGATCATTGTTGCTTTTTTGACAGTGGCTCGCGGCGAATGGATCTTTCTTCTACTTCAATAAGTTATATATTATCTCTTACGTTCGAACTGCTCTTATTGGGAACTCATTGTTTTGGATATCACAACAACATATAAAGATGAGCAAGATTCTTCTACGGAATTTACCTTGACAGTACTCTATAAAGCAGACAGCATTGCAACAACAAAAATCTAGAAGCAAAATATGACATGCTAACTGAATTTGGCGTAATCCCCTCAAAACATGATCGATACAAGAATCAGAAGAATTCTGCCATTACCCCTCGTTTAAAAAACGCTAAGATACGTGAGAGAATAAATAATGTTCTCATCATAAAGCTACTGTGATAGTGTCGCATTGAAAATAAAGTTAAATCGCTCTTCGTTCTGCATGGTTCACCCGTCCTATAAAAGTCACACTTTGAAAACTACGACATACGCTTGTTACTCTGGATTTATAAATAGCAGTGCTAATAGACGCTTTTGTCATTTGGACTTTGCTCAAACATGGGATCGTCCAAATCACCCAGCAAAGACACTGCTTACTGTTCTTGGCAATATCCTTGCCAGACTATTTGGGCAATCCAATGTCCTCCACTAAAGCTGCTGGAGCTTTGAACAAAAAGGGCCTCACTAGAAAAGAAAAGGACGACATTTATATATTCAATTCCGAGTCGATCTGTACCTAGACCATGTGTAACG